AAATTCGGTTTTCACCCATCCGTGTTTGTCGTAGGAGGCGACTAACGGGTTCGGGTTGTCAGGCTCGCTGACTTGCCTGATGCATGTCATAGTATCCTAATTGCCTAGATCGATGCTCATGATGTCTCTCTCTGGTTTGCCTGGTCCAGACACGATTTTTTACAGATGATATATGACTGAATGCGGCGTTAAACAACAATCAAACCAACACTGATATACAAGTGTGTTTTATGACAAACTAGATGTAAGAACATGCATATATCTATGTCTTTAAAAAAACGTCATTCAGACGTGTGTATTAAATAAAACTAACCATACACTCTTACCAGCAGGTATGTACTATCCGACTAACCCTTCTATATACATATATACAGATGTGTTTATAAAGGACTAACCCTACGAATTTGGATGCATATGCTAATTGTATCAAACTGAGCGTAGGGTATTAAATAGAGATTACTAAACGAGTGTCTGTCAGATACCATTTATCTTACAACGAGTTGTTTCAAAACGTATTTGACAGACACGAGCACATTAATCAGTTTCTTACACACCATAAACTCGCACCATTTTATGGTCGAATAGGGGCGGTGGGGTAGCCTAGTGGTTAAAGCGTTGGCTCGTCACGCCGAAGGCCCGGGTTCGATTCCCCACATGGGCACAATGTGTTAAGCCCATTTCTGGTGTCCCCCGCCGTGATATTGCTGGAATATTGCTAAAAGCGGCGTAAAACTAAACTCAGTCAGTCAGTCAGTCAGTCAGTTATTTCGAATAGATTCAAATTTGATATTTTCTCATCGTAGCTGTGCGATAATACACAACACAACGTTTATGAATGAGTGACGTCACTTGGCTTCTTAATCACTACTCATCCCCATGGTGACCCTCCACAAAACAGTTTCTGTCACATCTTCGCGTCATCAAGGCAATAGTGATAATGCAAACTAGATAAGATTTTAAATTAAATAAACACTCTAAAACGATTATGTTACAGTGTAAATGTGGATGATTTTTAGTCTTGCAAGCATAAAATATTTGAGCGTGTGACGTCATCGTTATCATTTGGTGGTTGTCGTCATCGGAAGATTGTTTTGGATATTTCTGCACACTGGGGATCACTACTTGTGTACTTGTGTTCTCCCATCGACCGTAGCCAAAACTATTGAGTGTGTGTAATTAGGTGTAACCACTTGTGCTTGTATGGGACATTGCTGAGGTTACGTTCACCATCAATGGGGGACTACTCTTCTTCGCCACAGCCTTCTCGTTTTCCAGAGCCAGAAACTGCCACTTGGAATGTAACGGAATTTACGGAGTTGTCAGTATGAAATATGAGTTGATTACATCCTGTGTGTTATGAAGACATAAACTTTGCATTATCATGCGTCGGAGGGATATCTTAAGCAATGACTTATGTGTAGATCAACCGTTCCTGTACATTTTGGATTGAATAGAAAGGACGTGTGTTGCCATTTGCACTCATGAACCCTTGCAAACGTTCCATGTTGTTCATTGTTTCAACGAGTGTGTTTTGGTTCTGATTGTCATGTGTGAATTTGATAACATTTGAATCACATAGTAGCTCGGAGCTGGAAGTGGGTCTTCATCATGTTTATCAGTGAAAAATGTCATCTTTATCAATTCATCAAAGAAACAACGAGGCAAATCGATCTCACAATAGACAGGGACTGATCTTATCCTGTCAGGTATTTTTGCAAGACGATACATGACACTTGTCGCATCTCTCCAGTAAATGTACCAATGTTGTACATTTTGAATATTCAAAAGGAATTCCGGGCTTTATCTCTAACATAATTGTTTACACAGGTATCACTGATTGTTCGAGCCATTTTGAATTTATGACTGGAATCAAAGGTTTTAATAAAAGGAATTACAAAATATATAGAGACTCGTGTTATATTTATTCTAATTGTGTTTCATTGTATAAATACATGTGTATGTTGCAATCGCGAAAATAACAGGTAGGTGTAAAGGGGTTTGTTTTGGCACAAGTAACAGGTTTTACTTCGATTGAAGCACGAGTAACTTATCAATGAATTTTAATCAGGAAAGTTGTCCGTCATAACCTGACCCTAGGTCATCACCATGGAGTAGCCAATGGCGGGATTAGAAATCGACCTCACACATATGTGTGATACCTCACATGGGTTTATCACCCACGGGTGTGTAATACTGCTACACTACTAAGTATAACTAAGGACTTGCCTGTCGGGCAACAGATGTTATAGTGTGGTTTATTAACACATATTCATGATACATACGAAACCATAAAATGGACTCAATTAGTAGACATTTCTCATTTTTTAGGAAATGGATTTGTGAGTGAGTGAGTGAGTTAATATTTAACGTAACATCGGCAATATTGCAGCCATATCGTGACGAAAACAAGCCATACAATAAAAAGTAGAAACATTTTGAAGATTAAAACCTGTCGACGATGGACAGTAAAAAGACTAGAGAATCACAGTTATAAAGATAAAACTAGCGCAAAGTTAAAATATTCCAATTAAAGAAGACAATACAATATAAAATACGGGCTAGAGATCGCCAACAACTGAAGGTAGATCACCATACTAAGGCCCATGGGGACTTACATTACTTTTGCTTCCTGCATGGACCCTAGCTGGATTTACACCATCCCTTCAGCCATTGGCGTTGATGCTGAGATTTAGCCATACATTAAAAACACAAAAATACTACGATTAAAACCCTGGTACACTTAAACTGACTTGAAATGTTTTGGGACTTACGTACCCTCGCAGGAGGACAATAATGTTACGCTACTTCAACCCCCTTTGAGGGTGAAATGGATTTGTCGCTAACAATATAATAATATTGTCATGAGCATATTCAAATACTTGACAATAACAATGCATAATGATCAGCCAGGCAGAGAGCGACAGCAGTGTCTGACCACTAACCTACTAGTAGCAGTGATATCTAGGGATGGAATAACAGATCCTGGGGTATTACCGAATGCTTGTGTAGTAAATAACGCATAATCTATTTTTCTTTCTTTCCGCAGACTGCCTTCAGCTTGACAGCGTACCTATTATGTACACTTAACAAAAGAAATACAAATGTTAAAGTTTTTGTGTTCACGATTCGCCACCTGTCATCCAAGTTTCATGACGTTTAACCTACTCTGTCAGTAGCATCTGCGGTAGGTATGACAGTTTACAAGACTCGGATGCAAGCTTCCTCCTCTGGATTAAATCAAGAAGTTGTAACTTAAAAGAGTTATGCAATATGTTTTTTGTTGAATAATGTATGATATATTTTTTAATGAAAATAATTCTCCCGACATTTGTACACATACTATTGTACACGTACTATTAGAAATATATTATATATGAATCTATTCACAATTATCACACAGTTATTTTTGTATGCTATATATAGAGCATCTCACCCAAGTGTCTACTGATATCAATTATATCAACACGAGTTGACAAAGTTACAAATATCCGAGGCTTGCCGAGGATATTTTTACCTTTATCAACGAGTGTTGATATAATTGATATCAGTAGACACGAGGGTGAGATTCTATATATTTATCATCAAAAATCATTCTTCATTAGTTTTCAATGAAAAAATGTACATCTCTCAACACTGTACTACCATTAGACTTGCAGTGCAGCGATGTCATAGCATTGTGACGTCATCAAGTTGATGACGTCATAGCATTGTCAGGGCATTGTACAAAATCTACTGTCAAAACGATATTTCCTAGGAGATATCATACGATCTTACAAAAGCGATATCCCCTGTGGAACACAGTTTTGGATGATAAATGTACCTGTTTACCTGTTGTATGCACTACGTGTCGTATAACTGGGATAGTTTTAAAAGTGGCGTCACATTCAACTCACACACTCACTTAGTACTTGCAGACCTATCAGATACGTCCAGATGAGGCCTACAAGATAATTTGCCAATGCGGTGAATTTGCATTTATTGTGCCTCTTTCACTTGTGTGAGGATAATGCATAACGCATCTCAGATGCTTATTGGTATCGCGTAATTGGAATGTGTGTTTTTTCTCAAATGATAATCAAATTTTTTGTTCTTTTCCATTACGGACAAATATCACGGGTCTTATGGGAATAATCTCTTGAGAGTTAACATGCAAATTGTCATCTTCATATTTGGGAGCATTCAGACTCATATTAAGTTCGTCAGTGTTTAAGCTGAGGTATTAAGGCTCTCTGTTCCGAAAAAAACACATTTAGATCTATGCCCGTAGGCATTTGCATGTTTGGGGAAAGAAAAGGTGAAAACAAATAGAACGAAATAAAATAAAAGAATAAAACCCGTACTCAACAACAACAGGAAATCTTAAACTTCTGTGTAATTTGAATCAATTATGATTAGAAACTTTATAGGTCTTGACAAATATATATAAATATCAATAAATACATAAATGTCTTTTCGCTAGAACCTTCTATTAACATTTTCTTCCTCGTGTTTCGGATGTGATACTTGTAAATATCCACTGTCGTTTTAATAAATCAATATGCAGTGTTAGTTACAATGTCCGTGGATTAAATGCTGGGCATAACAATGTATGTCAAACAAAAATCTGAATATATTATCAATACATTCCAGTTAGGATTTCAATTAATGGTCTTTGGCAAAATGTTTTGGTATAAATGGTCCAATATATGAAATGAACACATATGCTTAATTGTGTATAAACATTCCCAATCAAGACAGTTGTTTAATATGGTGTGATAATCATTACGCCTTTTGTTGACATGTCCGGTCCGTGTTCATAGTGTCGCCTCCAGTACGACCACCCAAGCCCGACAAAAGGCTAATAGAGAGCTATTATGAGGAGTAAGTCGCAGGGGATATTCCGCTTTCACTGCTGTCGAGCTTAGAGGATGTATACATCACATTTGAGGCTGTCAATCGAAGGCGGTTCCTCCAATCAATAGCAAGCTTGGAGCCTAGACTCAATCCTGCAGTCACTTGGTTTGGTTTGCAGGAGCAGGTAGCACCATGTGCTAGAATGCTGAAGAACTGGACACAGATAATCAATGACAATTCCTGGATTATACTGCTGTGTAGACAAGACGAGTAGAAATATTACAAAACAAATATTTGAGTGTGATTTGTCAAGCTGTATCTGTTCTGTTAGAAAGCGGGACCGGTAGAGAAGTGCCTGCCTGAATAGCTGCTGATACGTTCTCGTGAATAAGGAACACGCACATGGCTTAACTGATTGTGGACTACCATTAAGGTGAGTGTATGCATGCAATGTCATGTTTCCGTTATTCATTACATCAGTCATGAAACTGGTGATGTCGTGGCTGTGTCGAATACTATGTATGTGTTATTTGTCTATATTGACTACCTACATGTATATATACACATTTGGGGAAGTGCATGTACCGTAACTACCCTTTGTTAAACTTTTGGTCGCAAATGTGTCAATCAAGAAAGACATTTTCATATGTAGAAATAATGACTAATGAAAATGAAGGTGTCTTACCGTTATGAAAGCATGTGTCTTGTTTTGCGAAATGGTTTAGGAAAATCGTAATTATGTATGATAGTGCAATAAGATAATTGTCTAGTTCCTTAAATCTTCTCTGTTAGCAGCGTTTTTTGCATCTAGATTCTATGTCCCTTCCTCCCTTACGATTTTTGCGCTAAAGGAACGCCTTGTAGTCAAACGGTTGACGAACAGAAGAAAGGTGAACATTTGATCTTATGTTTAATTATTGGTCATGAACCTGCCATATCTCACCACTTTCAAAATACTAGTAGATGCAGAAGACAGTGAAATCAACAGTGAGCTGAAAGTTATACTAAATTTACTATGATGTATAATGTTACTGTATACTTCAAATCACTTTATTGAGATAAATATCTCTCATGTGTTTCAGATCATACTATATCCCTTTGTATGAGATGTCATACTATGTCCCATTGTGCGACTACTATCTGAAATTTGACGTGAATTCGAAGTGTTCGTATTTTGAAGAACAGCCCAAAATAGTTATCGATTTCTCTTATTCCTCGGCATTGTATTAAATCTTTCATAGCTTTCTTTTGACCTTTCCACAACTGGAAGCTTGATATGGGAACAAGAGCCATCAGAATTATTCTACTCAAGTATATTTCTGCTGAAATTCACTCAGTGCAGACTATAATGCGTATGACGTCTTTGGGAGCATTCAGACAGTATCTGTCGATAAATGGCGCACAAAGTTCACATGAATATAACTTCATTAAGGAACATGGGCCGAGCTAAAGCTAAAGAAAAGCGATAATCTGATAAAGAAAAACCCGAAGAATGGTCAGAAACTGAATATGTTAAAACAAATTTTACGGTTCCAGATCATGACCACATATTCTGAAGTCAAGAATATATGTGGCTGTCATTGCTTCTAATCTTGGAGTATAATGGTATTTGGGGGGGGGTAGTGTAGCATATCGAATTACTTTACCAACACCCACTGAGGCGATGTGATTTCACTACAATGAACACATCATAACATCCTTCACTTCACTTTGCATTCATTATCAATTCCAAAGTAGATCATAATCATAATGAATGGTTCTTGACATAAAGGCTTGTTCTTACTAAACTGGTAGATTCAGATTAATTTATAGGTTATAAATGTCTATCAAGGTTACACGTAAATGTAGTAATTGAAACCGATAGCTTGAGTTCAAGCCAGGCAAGTACCTGGGCGTATTTACGCAGGCTATGTGGCAAGCAATGCCAGAACACAGAGCCTAAATGAGATGCAGATTATCTATGGAATCATTGTTTCTATCATAGCTCCTGATTATCTATTATTATATCTATTTCTAATGTAGATGAAATGAAGACTAAATTCGAATAGCTTATAACCTATACTCCATCACTCGTTAGATTTAATGTAAAACGTCATCGCCAGAAAATAACCAGTCTCTATTGGCTAGAAAACAAAACCGCTGAATATCAAAAGGATGAATCACTGAAGACCAATGTGGTTAGTTTATCCTGAGATATTGTACACTTTTATATATCTTCTACATCGTTTTGACATTACTGATAGTGTGTGCACTTTTATCAATATCAAATATAAATATATATACTACATATTCCAGCGAAGTTTCGAAAAAAAACCTTCGAGTTGAATATTGCTGTATGAGGTCGACAGGTGTTTTTCTCAAACGTGGATTCTATTTTGTTGCCCCCTTGACTTGATATTGAAAGGGTACACTGAAATATTTAATGCATTGTGAGTAGAAATGCAATCGGTTTTGTAATAAAGCAGATGTATAATTGGGCTTTAACAGGTATGTCAGTATTGACATGTTCATGAATATTTAATACCACCACTGAGAGTTATATTCAACTTAACACGGACGTCCTGCAACTGAAGGATGTGATTAAGGTCTTTGCTGGCTATGCCCTTTCACGTTTATTGTCCAATTATCATCAGATGTGTTGGAAGTTCAAACGAATAACAAAGATCCCTTTTGGTGACGTCACAACATATGTCATACACCGGAAACACGTTATAACATATAGGATAATGATGATCTATGATTGATCTCCACGTTAACGGCGATGGAATCGCCCCCGTCATTCCACAACCATGTGAACTACGAACGAAGTGAACAAAAAATACATTTCTTTCCCATTTCCTTTAGCAAATACAGGCCCTTAATTGATGTGACCTTTTTGTGGGTATGGATCCACTTGATATTGAAAATTACGCCTAAACTCGACAAGCAACCTTTCTTCTCATCTGTTGGTTTAAGACATGCAACAGACACTATTCATGTTGCAAGAATTGTTGACGGTGTCGATAATTGTATTGCTTTCCAGATTCAGCCCAATTGGAAATATCTCAAGATTTCCCCAGTACCAGAGTGAGGCATTTGTCCGAATCTTACATGGACGCCTACCAGAGATGACAGCCAACTACTGATACACGGAACCATCCCCTCTCGGACCGCACACCCTGATGGGTGAAGGTACCCTATGATGATTGTGGACAACCTCTGTGTGTGGATTAGTGTCCTCAGCTCCATCCTAGTGTATGGAGGTAAGGCTTGCTTGACCTTTCTCGGACTTGTCCGATCAGGAGATTGCCATTTGTAATTAATAAGTTTAGAAATTCCTATGTGGCAATTTTATGAGACTGTCTGGATCAATGATGTCTCGGATGTGAAAACTAGCCATTATCTTGGGATCATGTCTCTATATTTGCTACAAATTATGATTGATGCTGAGACATAAATTAGGGGAAATCAAAGTATTATTCACATTCTTATTATGGCATTGCCTTGGCAAATAGTTTTACCGATGTATTAGTTGCAGATAAAGAAGAACCCCATATGTCACAAGATGAAACATTAGCCTTGTTTATATTAGTGTTGTTATGTGTTATTTCTTCACCAGATAATACCAGTTTGTTGGCATTTTACATCTGTGAGCATGTGTATGTGCATACAGGAATGAAACAGCTTTACAATCAGTACAAAAATATTTTTAACAATAGTTTAATAATACGCGTAGAACTGAACCAGTTTAGTTGAACCACGCCTACGAGTGCGTTATATTCACGTACAGGTATTGTATTGTTAGGACATGTTCACGTTTAAGTAAAACAGTATACATGTACAGTTATTATGAAAACACGTATACCTGAACGACAGTGTAAAACAAAGGAAATATTTTTTATTAATTGTTTCTTTGTTGACCGTGCAGTGTATTTCCAACTGTTGTAAGATAACTGAAATAATAATTGCGGCTTAAAACTCACTCACTCACTCATCCACTTACATCTTCACATGAGTGAGTGAGTGAGGTTAGTTTTACGCTGCACTCAACAATATTCCAGCTATATGGCGGCGGTCTGTAAATAATCGAGTCTTGACCAGACAATCCAGGGATCAACAGTATGAACATCGATCTACGCATCTTCACATGAAAGCAGCCCCAACGTTGCATTGTGTCCGCTCTAAACCGAAGCGACACTTTCCTAATTCCCAAAAGATATTTGAAGGAACCACTTGAGACATATTCAAACATGAAAAGCAAAAGGAATCACATTTTTGCCGTATCTTCTTAACGAATCTTCTGTCATAATCTTGCATTTCATAATTAAAGCCACATCGTCTAATTAGTGCCATGATGTATCCGCTAACATCACAATGTCCAGATAATTATACACGCTAAACAAGCATTAACAGGAGTGTCCTCATCATAATCCATCACAAACCTAATGCAGCGAATAGTACAACCGGTATTTTACGCTGAAATACGCAGTCTCCATGTTCTTAAGCCTGTCTCAGACATTGAAATCCCCGCTAGAGTAACTTCAAACGTGATATGGCATAGCGTCAGCCGAGCAAGCTCTCAAGTTTCACCGCACCGTATATCGGTATAAGTCAATCGGATCACTGACAGCTAAAGTCATTTGTTAATGCAAGAATAGTTATTGAAACCATACTCGTCCGACAAACCAATATCTCCCTGTTATCATGGACGTTTGCGGATGATTCCAACCCGCTGGCAAGTCATTTCAGTGACCAGAATATCGGGAGAAAATTCTATCTTGAAATACACAAGTGTGAAAATCGTTATTACGTTACATGCGTGTTCACAATCTGCTGACATACGAATCCATTATAGACTTATTATTGACTCACCAGCATCGCCTGTACAGAGAGTGCCAACCTATATTTTACCATGACCGCCTACACAGACAGTTTAAAAGTGTCTCACCTTTCTCCACCTACACAGACTGACGACCTTGTCCTATCTCTTCACAGAGAGTCCCGACCTTGTCTTAACAAAATCTTCTTCACAAAAGGTCCCCAACTTCAACATGACCGTCTAAATTCATGCTGCAAGTCCTTGACTTACCATGACTGCCTACATGGAGGAGTCCTGGCTTTATCATTACCTGCTGAGTCCCGACCGTGTCATAGCATGATCGTACACATAGAGGGTACAAACCTCGACTTAGTATGTCCGCCTATACAGAGGCCCCAACCTCTTGTGACAATGGCCTCCTAAATATAAATATGGAGCCCCGACCTCCTCTTACCATAACCCACGCATGCTCTTCCCATGACCGGCTACACAGAGACTCCCAGTCGTGTCTTACGATCACTGTCTGAACAGAAACTATGCCGATAGAACTCTTGTTGCACCATGGTCGCCTATATCGTAAGTGCCTATATCATCTATAGGCCTAACAATATTTTGCCCTGGTCACCTGCATGCGGTGCATGTTCCAATTCTCCTTTTGTTCCTTCACGGTCATGACACGAACATGCCATTGTAAACAGGATTTCACAATGACCATACCTCTAGGTTCATGCTATATATAAAAACAATTATACCTTGCGTTCCCGATAGGTTTGTCATTTTTTGGAGACACACATGCCCTTGGCTACGTCTGGCTAAGTGCGATTGATTCTGTCCGCAAACCAAAAGCTTTTAATCTCAGTTCAAAAACAACATACAGACGCAGAATCGCCTGCATATCGTTATACAAAGTTTTTACCTTGTTGATATACTGTAAGGAGTGGAACACATATGTCATGAAGTGTAGCGCTGTCTTTACTGAGTTGTGTACACAGTATGGACAAACATATCATCCATAAGGATACGTCCTGCATCACAAATTCATCCTTGTGATGAACACTATAATGTAACCTGCCAAAGGTCGTTTGGTGCTTTAGGCATTCGTATATTTTAGATCGATTTCTTTGTCATTTTGGGTTTGTGGAGTAAAAGCTATTTATTCTATAATTATAAGTATAATAATGTTCATGACGAATGAACATTATTCTCTAAGAATCTTTATTGGCATGTTGAAGTTTGATGTTATTATCATGAATAATGCCCCTTTGTCCGGAAGAAGAGTAAGTCCTGAAAAAACTGAGTATGCTTAATATAGGAGTCGTTGTTCATGACGATGTTCCTTGTCAGTTATTGTCTAACTGCATGTAACGAACTACATGTATAAGAATACCAGGATATGTCAAGGGAAGTACATGTAGTTTCCAACATGTAAGCTATCTCTTGCCCCTTGTCAAGAAGAGTAAGTCCTGAAACACTGAAACACTGAAATGTTTAATAAAGGATATGTTATTCATGACGATGTTCCTTGTCAGTTATAGTCTAATTACACGTAACGCAGTGTAAGAAAACCTCTAAATGTCAAAGGAAGTACATGTAGGTTCCTACATGTAAGTAATTACGTCTTTAACGTTTATATTTGTTTGTGTCGTTAAAACACATATGCGTCCTATAAACATTCTGTCTAAAAGATATCTACATGTTGGTAACGGAGACCTGCCCGGAACTCAAGTATGACGAACACATGCTGTGTAATGTATAAAAGCAATATTCTCTCCAGTACATCTGTCAATCGTTTCTTTCCTTACAATGCGCTTGTGTAATTTCGCTATGTTTTGTTCATAGCACGAACGTTTAAACGTGGTAGCTAGTTTCTTTACCCCAAAGCTTTGTTGCTACACTTAAGGACCACTTCTTACCCTCGCTATCCTCTGTTTTCGAGTGACAGAGGACGTACTGCACGTCGGGTGAAGGCGCCATCTACAAGATACTGAGAGCCAGTTCCTTGAATGTTTTCTGAGCCCTAATGAACGGGTAGCATCAACACGACATTGTTTTGTGGAGACCGTTTTGTGGAGACTCTTGCGTATACATCTTTGAAATTACAGCCCTCGTTTTGATCGGAATTGGTCCATAAACATTGTTATTTCATGCTCGATGGAGTAATGATTTCGTGTGGTTGAGTTTTATGTTGAGAACCATTTAACATTAAATTGATAATGACAAAATGACTAATTATTGACTCTGATGCAGAGAGATAACATTTTCAGAAATAAAAATATATATATTCCTAATTAGGTTTTTAACCATCTAAAAAATTATGTTTGCGTTGTAATAAGAAGACGGAAATACAAGAAAAACGTTTTAACCAGTCCCGACAGTGGATTACTGGGGTGATTAAGTAATTGAAGCTTGTAGTTCATCGATCGCTACAGTCGATAAACACGGAAATATACTGTTTGTTGTAAAATCTTTTCGGTATCGATATTCAAGTCATTCGTTACTCTTCTTCGCGTAGTCCAGTTTGCTGTTCAGAGAGGTACGCCAGAAGCCTGAAATTGTGGCTTCGCATCCCGTTTCATCTGGGTGTGACAGATTCATAATAGTCCTTGAGGTTTTACCAAACTAGTAAATGTCTAAGCCCGGCATCACTTCGTGATTTCCCCGTACACTGCGCAGACACTTTGGGACTACATTTAAATGTGGCGCTTTGTTATGTATCGCCCTTTTAGCTTTGTGTTTTACATTACAGTACCATACATCCACAGATAAGTGTGTATCGGGCAGATTGAAAATGCAGCAGTTATAAATCATTGATTATGTTCACGTTAAGGTATCGGTAGAAGCTAATTGATGTGTGTGCATAATTTTATTATGAAACGATTGCACTTCGTACATTTGGTTGATCAGCTCAAATGAACATGTTCAATATATTATTTTATTAACTATACTATAAATACCGTTATTTAAAAATGCATTTATAAAATACTATTACGTTTGAAATAATGTCCGTGACGTCAATACGATCAGATTATTGCCGTAGGAAAAAGCTAAACGTTTCGTTACAAGCCTTCAACTATATAAAAAACAATATGATATCAATGCCTTTTTCTCCGTGTGCACATTTTGTTCATACATAAAACGCAACAAGAGTACTTCATGTTACCCTGCCTGGACATCGACATTAAGATGAGAAACCAAAGTCGGCTCGCAGTCAATATAATATGTCTGGATACCCACACTAATATCACAGTTGAGTAGCACTGTGAAACTATCTTGGGTCCTGGCTGGTATCAGTAGCTACAGACACACAAACACACACACACACACATAGGCATCACTATTTGAGTAAACCAATCTTACACATTTCGAATACGTCATCCTGAGTTGAAAATAGTGTTGCCATTTTCAGCTTCCTCGTGTTTTCTAGTGCACCCATAAAACATATTA